CACGGGGAAGACCGTAGCTAGCGGGTTGAATTGTTCCCAGAGATGCGCAACTTAGTGGGGGTGCCGGCACGAAGGTGTCGTTGGAACGGGTCGAGCGCAGCCTTGGAAGCACTGAGTGAACAAGTTGAACCACATCTGCTAGGATAAGGGTTTGTCAGATACACGCATGAAAACCGCTTTAAAGTCTGTGTTTCACCCACCTGTCTTTTTAGAGGAAGAATCAAGACTGAGCGTTGCCTCCCGACGTCACAGAAAATATTTATGTCACTACAGAGTGACGGTCGTTGCAGAGGAGGGATAGTGAGATTAAACTTTACAATTTTGTAGTGTAGCGTTTAAGCTGGGTACAAGAAATATGAATGAGTCAACGGGGTTCTTATTGAGACGAGTTTTACGTCTTAGCAGCCTTATGTCGTCATATTGTGTGGCAAATCTGCTGCGGATATGGTTGGTGCTTACAGTATTTTTGGCAGACGTCCACAGCAAGAACTAGGATATTATCCCCCCCCCCTCCCAAAAAAAAAAAAATATTCGCACTAATTCTCCGTACGACAGATCGTTATTCGTATGGCGTATGGCCTCGAACATCTGGTTTATTTCGCAACAAGATTAAATGCATGCTATTTTAGTAATTACAATAACATTTTTAAATTGTTAGAATATGAATTTTGTTTACAATAGCTGTGATAGCGAACAGAGAGTGGATACGACGAGTTTTAATAATCTGAAGCATTATGATTGAGACCGATAGACTTGACCATATAGCACAAAGCCAGTTGCTGAAACACGTCTGCGCTGCTGTTTAACACAGCTATTTGGGAGTAGTTCAACATGAGCGGTGGGTGACTTGAAACAACGATACTAACATGTAAAACAAATACAAGTAAATATATTCATTTTGGTGGAGTGGTGTTCGAACAATACAACTAACTGAGGAATCACTCCAGACTCCACAGTGCAAGATCATAAAGTAGTGAATATATAAACAATAAAACGTTTGTTAATAGGCTTAGGGCACGAGACTATCACTAAATATTTGTAAATAAAGTGTATAATACAAAGAATGTAAAACATTTTTTTTTAACGTGTTGGTATAGTTATACGCAGGAGGCTACGATAGTACAAAGCTCATTAAACCTACGGATCGCACCGACCAACTTGAGATTTAGACTTGAAAAATATTGTTATAGTATGTAGGGTTAAATGAAATATTTAAAAGTAGTCGGTAAGTGCGTTAAATAGAATATTTAAGGGTAATCGATAAAAAAATGGTGGTTTAAAAAGGGGAATAACCCCGCCGAGGGCGGTAAAAGCCTGAGCAACTGATACGTAAAATAAATTACCACCTCGTTGCGGCGGCGCTCGGTTAGTAATCAAAGGAATACAGCGCCGTTACAATCCTGGATAGGACTCTGGATATAAAATCCAGAATACTC